GTTGGCACCCCCCCCCCCCCCTTCCCGGAGGAGCCCTCCCCCGGGGGCGGCGATGCAAGGAGAGCTCGCCCTCCGAAACAAAGACCGCCCCCCGCCCCCCCCCCGCGCGCGCGCCAGGTCGAGCCGTCGCCAGAGGCGGCGGCCGCCGCGCTCGAGGCGACTCGAGGGCAGCTGCGCCGCGAGAGCGCGGCGCCGCCTCCCCTCGACGCCCTCGCCTCGTCCGCCTCCCTGCAGCAAGCCTTGCGTCGCCTCTACCACTCCGCCGCGCCTCCCGCACCCGACGCCGCCGCCCCCTCCGCGTCGGACGAACGGGCGGGCGGCGGCGCGCCGTCGCCGCGCGCGTCCGGCTGGGCGCATGCGCCCGTCCCCGAGGCGGGCGGGGCTGAGGCGATGGCGGCGGCGCTCTCGCAACTTGCCGTGCCGCCGCTCCCGCCCGCTCCCGCCGCCGCACCGCCCGCCGCCGCACCGCCCCCGCTGTGCAGCGCGCGCGGTGCGGGGGACGGGTCGCAGCGGCCTCGGCAGCGGCTCGCGGCATCGCACGTGAGAGCGACGGCAGCGCGGCGGACGGGCTGCGGCAGCAGTCCTTCACGCGTCACTCGTTGGCTCAATGAATAGGTCCGCGGCCGCGTGGCGGAGGGGCTGCTCGGCGAGCCGACGAGCGGACGCCGCCGCCTCGCCGCCGCTTGCACCCGCCTCCTCGCCCCGCTCGACCTGCGATCGCTCGTGCTCTCCGGTGGCGGAGCCGACTCGCAAAGCGGCGCCGGCGGAGGAGCAGAGAGGGAAGAGGCTTGCTCCGCGTCGCTCGGCCTGGCGTCGGCGGTGCTGAAGCTGCTCCTGCTGCTCCCGCGCGCCGCGCCGCCCCCCCCTCACGCCGCCGGCGGTGCGGGCGCCGCTCCGCCCGGTGGAAACGCGTGCGGGCTCTAGGAACCTTCTAGGAACCTTCTAGGCGCCGCACCGCCGGGTGGTGGAAGCGCGTGCGAGCTCCTCCGGCTGCTGTCGGCGCTGTTGTGCACGTTTTGCCTCTCGGCCAACTTGCCGACGGGCTCGGCCGGCTCGCACACGCTCGGCAGCGCCGTCGGCCGCCGCCTGAGCGCCGTGCTTTGCCGCGGGCTGCTGCCGGCGGCGCTGCGGCTGATTCGGCGCGAGGCGGCGGCGATCAAGGCGGGGCGCCGTAGACGCGGCCTCGGACGCGTGTATTCCGGCGGGCACTCGAGGGGAGACGTATTGAAGTGCCGATTCGGCGGCCCTTCGCTGTATCCGGAGCGCGTGTGCGAGTGCACTGCACGGTGCCGCCCTCACACCCTGCCTGGCGGTGTGTCTTCACACCACAGGAAGACCACCTCGCCTCGAACGCGCGACGCCATTGGTAGCTAGATCTACTCATTGATGACTCATCTCACAGGTCGGCCACCTCGCCTCGAACGCGCGCCTCTGCGCCGCCGCCGCCCTCTCGTGGTCCCTCTCGGCCTCGGTGCCGCTCCCCGCCCTCTTTGAGCCCGCGGGGAGGAACTTTCTAGGAACCTTCTAGGAACCTTCTAGGTGCCGCTCCCCGCCCTCTTTGAGCCCGCGGGCCCGCTCGGCGTTGGCTGGCAGCACGCACCCTCCTCCTCGGCCGCACAGCCGACCGCTGGCGCGGGGGACTCCCCCACCGCCTCAAGGTACCCGAACCCATCCCCCACCCCCACGGTACCGAACCCATAGGCGCGTGGGCGGCCCTCCGCGCCTGCCAGCCGCAGCCCGCCGATCCGCGGGCCGTCGCGCTGCTGCTTCGCTGCACCTCGCGCTTGCTCGTCGACGTCGACAGCGAGCACGACCAGGCGGCGGCGGCGCGGCTCGAGTCGGTGCCGGTCCGCCTCGCCGGAGGCTTCAACCTCGCCGCCGAGGCGCCGTGCTCGGTGCGCCGGCGGCTGGAGCAGCTCTTCGCGCTGCCGGGCCTGACTCTGCTCGACACTACCTTGGGCCTGCTCCTCGCTTGCTCGCTCGCGGCGCCGGCCGCCGAGCCGCAGCCGCCCTCCCCCGCCGCGACGGCGCCGGCGCGCGCCGAGCTCGACGCGGCCTCCCTCCTCGCGCGCGAGCTCCTCGCCCCCGACGAGGACGAGCCGCCGCAGCCGGCCGGCTCGGTCGGCGCGCAGCTGTCGCTGCAGCTGTCCCTGCTCTCGTTTCTGGGCGGGCCCGTGCTCGGGCGCGAGGCGCCCGCCGCCCTCGCGCCGCTCGTCCGCCGCTCGCTCGGCACCCGCCACGTGCGCGCGCTTGTCCTCCTCCTGCAGCACGGCGCGGAGGCTGCCGCCGGCGCGGGCGGCGCCGGCGCGGGCGGGCCGGCGCAACAGGCGCAGGTGCAGCAGGTGCAGGTGCAGCAGGTGCAGGCGGCGCTCCGCTCCCTCGGCGAGCGGCTGGCGCCCGCCCTCTCCGAGGGCATGCAGGCGGCCGCCCTGCGCGCCGGCCTCGTCGGCAGCCCGCTCCCCGAGATGGCGGGCCGTGCCCCGCCTCCCGCCGGCGCGCCGGACGCGGCCCCGGTCGCACCGCTGCGGCTCCACCCGCAAGCCCTCTCCTTTTACGCGCGCGTCGCCACCATCCGCCTCAGCTCGCAGCTCTCGGCCTCGCGCGGCGCGCAAGGAGCGGCCGCGCCGGCCGACCCGGTCGTGATCGACGTGCTCCACGCCGCCGTCGCCGCGCTCGCCGCCGCCGCCACCGCCGCCACCGCCGCCGCCGAGCCGCCGGCGACGCCGCCGCTGCCGCCGCCGCTCCCGCTGCCGCACGCGCAGCTGCTGCTGCTACTGTGGCACTCGCTGCCGCCGCTCGAGCGCGGCGGGGTCGGCTGCCGCGTCAGCGCCGCGCTCGCCGCCGCGGCTCACTTGCCGCAGTCGCGCCGCCCCGCCGGCTGGCGCGGCGCCACGCTGCGGCTCGCTCAGCTCCTCGACTACATGGTTGCCCACCCGGACGAGCCTCCGCACCACCTGGCCTCGCAGCTCGCCTCGACGCTCGCCGAGCTGCCGCACTCCGCCAGCCACTCGAACCACCACCCGCCGCCGCCGCCCGCCGCCGCCGCCGCCGCGCTCGGCTTCCACCTTGGCTCCTTCGCCGCGGTCAGTGGGGCGGCCGCGGCCGCGTCGTCGCAGGTGGTCCTCGGCAGCGGGTCGCCGGCGCACCGCTACGAGCTGCGCGCGCCCCTCCCCTCCGAGCCGGCCGCGAGGGCGGCCGCCGAGGCCGCCGCCGCCGCCGCCGTCGCGCGCCGCGTGCGAAGCCGGCCGCTCGCCGCGGGGTCGGCATTTGCTCTCGACAGTGCGGTGGTGGATTGCGTCGTGGCGCTCCTCGCCGCCGCGATGTCTGGCGGCGCCGCCGCTCGTGACCGCTGCGGCGCCTCCGATGCGCAGCTCTTCCTCGTCGCGTGGCGGCTCTTGGGCGCCGCGCCCGCGGCGCACCGCATTCCGGCGCCGCCGCCGTTCGCCGGCGCCGCCGCCGGCGCCGAGGCGGTTGGCCACGCGCTAGACGCTGCACGCATTTCCGTGGCTTCGCTCGAGACGTCGGCCACCTCCGCCGCCTCATCCGCGGCGTCTTCGGCGCTGGCCGCCTCTGTGGGCTGGATGCGAGCGGCCGCGACGGGGCTGGGAGACCCAGACGCTGCCGAGACGCGGCCAGCCACGCCGACGGGGGCGGAGGCGGGGGCGGGTGCAGAGGTGGCGCGCGGCACTGCTTCGTTCGGAGGCCCCGGTGGGGCGGCGGCGGTGATGAGCGCGCACGCGCTCGCAGCAGAGGTGGCCATTGCCACCCTGGCCGCGCGCGCCCCCCCCGACGCCGTTGCGGCGGTGGCCGCCGAGCTGCTGCCGGCCCTGGCGACTGCCGTCGCAGCAACCGCCGCTGCCGCCGCCGCTCACGCCCGCCGCCTCGCCGCGCCACACCACCGCTTCGAGCAGAGTTCGCTCGTCGAGGCGGTCGTGCGGACAGGCGCCATCGACCCGGCGGTGCCGCCGGGCGGGCAGCTCGCTCCGCCGGCCGTCTTGGTGTCGATCGCGGGCGGCGGAGGCGCCGCGCGCGCGCTGCTGGCGCCGGGCGCTCGCTCTGCGGCGCTGACTCGGTACGAGGCCGCCGCCGCAGCCGACGACAGCGGCCGGGACGAGGCGGCACTGCTGCGGAGCCTGCTGGCGCACTTGCTCGCCGTGGACGCGGCAGCTGTCGGCGGCGGCTTCGACGGCGACGGCGCGTCGGCTTCTGGGGCCGCCTGGATGGATGTCGGCCGCGGGGCGGGCGGCAGAGGCGCCAGCGAGAGTTGGCGTCTCTCTGCGGCGGCCTCTGCGATGGCCAGTGAGGTCTTGCGCGCACGCACTCAGCTCGCCATGGACGCGGTGTTGCGCGCGTGCGCCGCCGCCGCCGCTTGTGCGTCCGGAGGCGGCGAGGGGCTCGTGCTGCAGTGCGGTGCTCTCGGCCGGCAGCTGCTCGGCCTCTGCCTCGACGGATGGCAGGCGCACTGCGCCCCGCGGCTCACTGCGGCCGCGACTGCGCTCCTGCCCGCGGCGGCTGCGCGCGCCGCGTGGGCGGATGTCATTCGCACGGGCCGGCTCCACGCCGCGGTCTCCACTGCCCTCGACGCAGCGATGCCTCCCGCCGCGTCTGCTTCGCACTCTGCCGCGGTCCTCGGGCTTGCCCTGGACAAGCTCGAGGGACTGCTCGCGTCGAACGACACGGCGGCGCACGCGTTGCTCTGCTACGTCGGCGTCGCTGAGCCCGACCCGCCCGCCGCCCCGCCGCAAGACGGCGGCGCGGCCGGCCGGTTGCCTGAGCTCGCCGAGCTGCTCTGCGCCGCCCCGGCAGGCGGCCATCTCGACGAGCGGGCGCTCAGCGCAACGCTCGCCCTGCTGCGGCACGATGAGCGGCTTGGACGAGACCGTGCCGCCGGCTGGCCGCTGGCGCCGCGCACGGAGCCGCTTGTGCTGCGGCTGACGCTATCCCTAGTTTCCTTGCGCGAGGGTGAGCTAGAGACGTGGCTCTCCTCCCGTTTGGATGCCGCCGCCGCCGCCGCCGCGGCCGCCGCCGCCGCTGCCGCCGCCGCCGCCGCCGCCGCCGCTTCGGCCGGTGGCGGGAGCGGCGCTTCGCCGCCGGCCTCGGGCGACGCCGCTGCCGCGGCGTCCGGCAGCAGCGGGGGTGGCGCGTGGCAACGGCTGTCGCAGCTCCTCGGAGCGCTCCTGCTCGCACCGGCGGAGGGCGAGAGCCCACACGCGCTGGCTCAGGCCGCGCTGCAGGCGCGGCTCTGGCCGGCGCTCCGTCGCCACCTCGAGAAGTGTTGCGCCTCGACGACGCAGGGCACTCCGTTCCGCGGGGACGGCACCACGCCTCCGCAGCCGTGCCTGTGGTCGGCTTGGGGCGCCGACCTCTTCGCACTGATGCGCGGCTTGGCGTTCCAAGACGCCGACGCCGGGGGGGCCGACGCCGCCGACGCCGCGGCCAGCGGGGCGCGGCTCGAGGAGCTCATTCGCCTCTCGCTCGCGCTCCTCGAGCGGGTGCGTGGCTCTTCTTCCCGCCAGAGGGTCGCGGGTGGCGGCGCGCTCGCGCTCTCCGCCTCCGACGCGGAGGCGATGGAGGTCGACGCGGCGCCGACGCCCGCCGCCGCCGCCGCGACCCCTCTGCCGCGGCGGCCGCCCTCGCCGCCCCCGCCCCCGGTGGGCGCCGCTTGCGCGATGCTCGAGCTGCTGTCCGAGGTGCTCGGTGCGTGCGACGCCACGGGTTTGATCCTGAGCAGCGCCGACGGCGGCGGGCCGACGGCGATGCTGGAGGAGGCCGCCGTGGCCGCGGTGGAGGCGTCTCCCCTCCCGGCCGACGCTGCCGACGCCGAGATGGTTTGCGCGCCGGTGACCGCCGGCGGCGCGGTGGTCCTCGCCCGCGGGTCTGTGGACGAGTCGAACGCGGACTTGGCCTTGCCTGACGAGGCGTCGGCAGTTGAGCGGCGCGCGAGGCAGCTGGCGTGCCGCGTGTGCACGTACGCGGTGACCGGCTCCAACTTCACCGACCAGCACTGGTACTACTGCTACACGTGCGGCCTCACCCAGTCGGAGGGCTGCTGCTCCGTCTGCATCCGCGTCTGCCATGCCGGCCACGTCGTCTCGTACTCGCGCCGCTCCCGTTTCTTCTGCGACTGCGGCGCCGGCGGGCTTGCCTCGCGGGGCGTCCACTGCAAGGCTCTCTCCCCGCGACGCTATGTGCCCCAGCCGCAGTCGCGCGTGGCGGCCGGGGCGACGGGCTCGGCGCCCACCGCCGCCCCGGCCGCCGCCCCGGCCGCCGCCTCGAGCCGCCCCGCGGCCGCGCGCTCCGCCGCCGTGACGACGCTGCCGCCGCCCTCGCTCACCGGGCCGAGCAGGCTCGCGCTCCTGCGCTGCATGGCCGAGTCGAGCTTCGTGACGGTCGTCTTCGGCGCCTACGAGTGGCTGCTCTCGCTGGCGCAGGCGGAGGAGCGCGCCGCCGCCGCCGTCGGCATCGCCGCGTCGGAGCCGGACCTCTTCCCAGTCGGAGAGAGCGCGAGACACGTGGTTGCGCCCGCGTCTGGCCTCGCCTCGCTCCGGCTGCTGCTGCGGCCGGGCGCCTGACGACGCATGCCTCACAACCGACCCGCGGCCAGCCGAGAGGACCCGAGAGGCCCCCGAGAGTAGGCGCCTTCGACGTCAAGCCGAAGCCCGACGCGTCCCACGCGCGCGAGATGCGCAACCTGCTCGCGACGGGCGGCTTGCCTCGCTGCGTGCTGGCCGCCTCGCCCTCCGGCTTGCTCGCCGTCGCCGAAGCCGACCGCCTACACCTCGTCGACTCGGCGACCGTCCTCGCGCTCGCCCCGCTGCCGCCAGGCTGCGGCGAGGGCGGAGGGTCGCCAGCTCTGAGCAACCCCTCTCACGGCGCCGGCGCTGCCGCCGTGGCAGCGGCGGCCGCCCGCGCCGCCGCCGCCTCTGCCGGAGCCGGGGCCGCGGCGGCGGCGGCGGCGGCGGCGTCCGTCGCCAGTGGCGGCGTGGCGTCGGCGACGCCGCTCGAGCGTTCCGCGCTGCGCACGCTCTCCAAGACCGCCCTCGGCTTTGAGATCGTCTCGCTCGCCTTTTGCCCGGCCGACAGCACGCTGCTGCTCGTGGCGGGGCTGCGTGCCGCCGCCGTCCTCACCGTGAGTCCGCGCGGCGAGGTCTCGGTGCGGCTGCCGCTCGATTTGGGGCTCGAGACGCCGACGGCATCGAGCCCGCCGCCGTCGCTGTTGCGCGCGCTGTGGGCACCCGGGGTGGCTCCATGCGTCGGCCTCCTGAGCGGCGGCCCTGCGGGCTGGGTCAAGCTCTACGATCTCCGCCGCCACCGCGGCGCGCCGTTTGCCCACCTCGCGCCTCCCGACGAGCCTCTCAAGGACGTCACCTTCGCCACCGACGCTGCGGCCGGGCCGGAGGCCGCCTCTCCGGGCTTGGTCGTGCTCGCGATGAGCGGGGTGGGAACAATCTACACGCACCGCTTCCCACCCCTGCCCGCCGCCGCCGCGGCGCCCGCCCCCGCCTCCTCCTCCATTCCCTCCTCGGCGGCGCTGCCCGCCGCCGCGCCAGAGCGGCCCCGCCCGACCGTCCTCTCGTCGGCGCTCGCCGTGCCCGCCGAGCTGAGGTCGCGGCTGGGAGTCACGTTGCACTACTCGCCTCCGTGCGACCTCCTCTTCACTTCCTTTGCCGACGGCCGCGCCTTTGTGCTGCGGCTGGATGCGGCGCGCACCCGCGCCGTCCGGGGCTGCCCCCTCCACCCAGTCCTCCAGGCGGCCAGCGTCGCCGCTGCGGCGGGCGCGCCCTGTGGTGGGAGCGGCGGCGCGGGAAGCGCGGTCGGCCCCGGCGGCAACAGCGGAGCGCCGCAGCACCAGGCGTCGCACGCGGCGGCGGTGGGAGCCGGCGCCGCCCCGGCGGGCTTGGCGGCCCGCTGCGTGCCCCACTCGCACTGGCGCGACGTGCCGGGCTGCCGCGGCCTCCTCACCGCCGCCTGCCGCAAGACGCTCCAGCCGCTTCTCCTGTGTGTCACTCCGGCGGCCATCGAGGTGCAGCCGCTCCGCCCCTCCACGCGCATCGAGGGCATCGCGGCCGCCGCCGCGCCGGCCCACGGAGCCGCGGCACGGGCGCCGTCGGCCGAGGTTGCTGCGGTTTGCTGGGCGCGCGCGCCGAGGGGCGGCGTGGTGCGCTGCGGGGCTGCGCGGCTCACGGCGCCTGTTGTGAGTAGGCGCTCCACGAGGACGGGTCCCTCTCGTGCCACCAGGCGACGGCCTCGCGCCACTGCCCCCCCCCCCCCCTCCCCTCCCCCAAACCCGCGCCGTCCCCTCGCCAGGCGACAAAGCCACCCGGCGGCGGCGGCTCGCAGCTCGACTCGTTGCGCGCCGCGCTGCTCCGCGCCTTCGAGCGTCGGACGAGCGCCACGCGGCTTGCCTTCCGCGTGGACGCCTTCGAGGAGGGCTCCTGCGTCACCTCGTCGCCGGAGGTCACCCTCTTCGTCGACGCGGCGCGCGGCGCCCCAGACAGCATCAAGGCGCGCCTCTCCGCCGCGTCGGACGACTGCATCGTCGGGCAGGTCGAGTACGGGCCGATGACGCTCTCGGTGAGCAACTCGTCGTCGGACCTCGTGCCGATCGGAGTGCGGCTGCTCCTCGGCGCGTCGCACCCGCACCAGGTTCCGTCGTCGATCCGGCTCTTTGGGCGGACGGTGTCGACCGTGGACGGCGAGCGCCGCTGGTACGATTTGCCGTTCACGCCGGCCGAGTCCATCGTTGGCCAGCGCTCCTTCTCGCTCACTCTGGCGCCGGCGCACTCTGGCGCCGGCCCTCCCGTCCTCAACGCTGTGGAGGTGTTTGGGGCCACGCGGCGCGAGTTCGGCTTCGACATGCAAGTGACGGCGCTCTCGGCGAAGCACCTCACCCCCAGCGCGGCCTCGTCTGTCCACGGGGGCGAGGGCGGCCTCCGCCGCCGCCAGATCCTGGTCGGGCTCGAGACGGCACTGACGGAGCTACGAGTCTTCCACGCCGTCGCGGCCGCCACGGGCGGCGGCGGCGGCGGCGCGGGCGCGGGCGTCGGGGCCGCAGCGCCGGGCCGCGAGGCGATGCTCGAGGCGTTGCCCCGCGCGCTGAGGCTCGACGGCTCGCTGGCAACCCTGCGCCGGCCCGCCAAGTCGCTGCTGCGCCTCCTCGAGCCGCAGCGCGAGCGGTACCACGAGATCAAGGACGGCGCCCTCTTCCGCCACACGGCCGCCGTCGCGGAGGCGCTGGCTGCCGAGCCCTCGAGCGCGGGCGCCGCGGCCGCAATGTCTGCGGCGGTCGGCGGCGCCGACCGCGCAGCTCTCGGCAGCGCGTCTGCCGCCGCGGCGGCGCTGCTGCCGCTGCTCTCGGCGCTGTGCAAGGTGGTCCATAAGAGGCCGCAGTCGCTGCTCCGCCACGTGCGGGCCGAGCCCGCCTTCCTCGCCACTCTCTGTGCCGGCGCGCAGCGGCTGCCGGCGCTGCCTCCGTCGGCGGCGGCGTCGGGCGGCGCGGGCGCCGCTAAGCCGAGCTTGCGGCTCGTCTACTCGTCTCTCGTGCACCTCCTACTCGCTTGCGCTCAGCACGCGGTGGAGGAACCGCCGCCGGCCGCCGAAGAGGGCGGCGGCCGGGCAGCAGAGCCGTCGGGCGGCCCAGCGCCCGCGCCGCCGACGGCTGCCGAGCTCGACGCGCTGCGCCCCATTTGGTCGCAGCTCTCGGCGCTGCTCCTCTCGCAGAGCGAGAGCGTGCGCACCGCCACGGCCGCCGCCCTCTCCCGCGCGCTCCTCTCCTCGCTGCCGAGCGGGGCAGCGCCCCCCTTTGACGGCTTGTCGCCGCGAGAGGGGGGCGGAGCCGGGAGCGGCGGCGGATACGGATACGGCGGCGGCGGCGGCGGCGGCGGCGGGGACGGCGGCGCGGGCGGCGGCGCGGGTCGCGGGCTGCGGCGTAGCGCGGGCATGGGCGGGGCGATGGGCTCGGCGAAGAGCGTCGAGTTTCTGGTGGCCAACAGCTGCTTGGGCGGCTCGGCTCCGCTGTACGCGGCGCAGTCGGCGGTGCTGCCCCTCCTCGCGAATGAGAGCGAGGTGGAGGCGTCCGGAGTGGTCGTGGGGAGCGCACACATCGGCGACGACGACGACGACGAGCACGGGGGCGTCGGCGCGGGAGACGACGACGAGGCGATGGCGATGGAGGAGGAGGAGGACGGGATGGCCGAGGTGGAGATGGAGGACGACGACGACGAGGAGGCGCACGCGCGGGATGAGGCCGAGGAGATGTCGCTCGAGGCGGAGGCGGAGGCCCTCGCGTCTGCCGCGGCGGCGGGAGGCGCCGACGCCGACGACGCCGACGACGACGCGATGCTCGCCATGGCGATCTCCATGTCGCTGCGCCAGGCGCAGTCCGGCGGCGGTGGGGGCAGAGGCGGTGGGGGCGGAGGCGGCGGCGGCGGCGGGCCGAGCGACCCAGGCGGCGGCGGCCCCAGCTCTGAGGGAGACGGCGGAGGCAACGAGGGCAACGAGGGCGGTGATGGAGAGGGCAGCCCGCCGCCGCCGATGGCACCGATGGGCCTCGCGGCTGCCGAGGGAGGGGAGCCGTCGCTCGACTCGGCGCCCTCGGCAATGGAGATGGACACGGCACTTGGCGGCGGCTCGCTCGGTCGGCCGGAGGTTGCGGGTGGCGCGAGGCGGCGGCAGCGGCACCTTGTTTGCTGCTTGCGGCTGCTCATGCTGGAAGGGCTGGAGGGGCTGTCCAACACATCCGGAATCACGGCACTCCCATACCTGCAGCTGCTTGTGCAGTTTGCAGGGACCGAGCCGCCGGCAGCCCTGCACGCCCCCTCCGCCGCCACGGTCCTTCCGGAGGGCGCTGCTGTTGCTGCGCCGGCCGGCAAGCCCGCCGGCGCCTCGGCAGAGGTGCAGGAGGCCATCGGTTGGGGCGTCGCTGTGGCAGACGCTGTCTCTGCGCGGCTCATGTCGGCGGGAGGCGCCGAGCAAGCGGCGTCACCTTCGGCCGCCAAGCCCGTCCGCTCTCCGGCGCTCGAGTGCGAGCTCCTACTCTGGCTGCTGCTCTGCCTGTTGCTGCACCGCGACAAGCGCGCCACTGCAGCCACCGCCGCCGCCGCCGCCGCGGCGGCGGCGGCCAGCGCCGCCGCCACAGTCGCAAACACCGCCGTGGCCACCGCCACTGTTGCCTCTGCTGCCGCCACACCAATCCCGCACACTGCCGCGACCGCAGCTGCCGCCAGCTTCCCGCCCGCCGCTACCCCCTTCGCCGCGCCCGCCGCCGCAGCACCGTCTGCAACCGTCACCCTCGCCCCCGCCGCGACACTGGATCCGGCGGCGGCGGCGGCGGCGGCGGCGGCGGCGGGTGGCGATCTCGCGAGCTCGGCCATGCAGGCGGCGCTCGCGGCGCGACTCGCCAAGAATGGGCTGCCTGCGCGGCTCCTCGAGCTCGCCTCGCGCCTCCTCGCGCACTTCAAAGAGCAGGCCTCACGCGGCGGCGGCGGCGACGAGGCCGCGCCGTCGGGTGGCGGCGCTGCCGGCCGCGCCTCGCTAGGCGGGCCATCGTCCTCCAGCTCGCGGCCGGCGGGCGGCAGCGGCGCGGCGGCAGGCGGGGCGGAGGGGACGGCTCGCGTGCTGGCGCCCTTCTTCTCGGAGGCGTACGGCCGCATGCACGCGAGCGACCTTTTCGAGGAGGCGGCGCAGCTGCTGCTCGACGCCGTGCTGCGCCTCGCCCAGCGGCTGGCTCAGCGGCAGCTCCTCCTCCCCGCCCACGCGCCCCACGCGCCGTCCCTGCCGGCGGACGCGGAGGCGGGCAGCGGCGCGCTGGCGGCGGCGGCGGCGCCGTGGACAAATATCCTCTTCAAGATGATCCACGCGCCCGCGCTCTCCTTCGCGCGCAAGCAGGCCAAGAAGCTCCTGCTCGCCCTCTGCGGCTCCAAGCCGAGGTACGCCGAGCTTCGCGACGCCGGCCTCGCCTCGATTGAGCTCGCGCGCGTGCGGCGCGTCCTGAGCGAGGCGCGCGTCCTCGACGCCTCGCCGCCGCACGAGGGCGCGGCGCCGGACGGCCAGCGCATTGGCGGAGACGCTGCCGGCGGTGTCGATGCCGGGGGCGGCGGGATCTGGATCGGTGGCTTCGGCGAGTCGGGAGGGCTGCCGCCGCCGCCGCTGCCGTACGATTCGCAGCTCGAGCTGGCGGGCAGCCTCGGCCGGATGCATGAGGCTGCCTCCGCGCAGCCAACGCACTGGGCGCGCTACTGCGCGGCGCGCGGCGGCGACAGCGGCGTGGCCGCCGCGCGCACGCTGCCGCGCGACGCGGCGTGCGCGCCCGAAGCGACCCTCCCATTCCTGCTGCGCGCGACGTTTGCCTTGCGCGGCGAGAGCTCGCTGCTGCACGTGCTGCAGCTGCTCGGCCTCGCCCTCTCCCCTCCCGCCCCCGCCGCGGCGTCCACCGCCGCCGCGGGCAGGCAGCCCGGCCGGGGCCCTCTGGCCGCGCCCGTGCCCCCCACGCCCCTCCCGGTGGCGGCTCGCCCTCGCATCGACGTGGAGCCGCTGCTTGCCGCGGCGCAGCTGGCGCGCTTCGTCCGCCTGTTTGCGCTCTGCGGCCGGGCGTGCATCCGCGCCGAGGCTTGCGCCGTGGTTGCCGGCTTGTGGGCGCACGCCACGCGGGAGCAGCGCTGCTCCATCTACGCCTCGCTGCGCGCGGTGCTCCCCGCGCTCCCCCAGCAGGGCGCCGCGTCGCACGAGCTCATCGTCCTGCTGGGCAATTTGCTCCTTCCGGCCGCCGCGTCCGCCGCCGCCTCTGGCGCGGTGACCGACGCAGGGCTCCCGCCGCACATGGCGAGCCACGTGATGGACTCGTTTGTCGCCGCGCTGCGCGCGCAGCATCAGCTGCTGAGCGCGCACCCGAACGCGGGCACCTACGCCGCGCTCGGCTCGCTGGTCGAAGTCGATGGCCACTACCTCGAGACGGCGCCCGCGCACGCGTCGGCCCGGCCGGAGGCCGCGCCGACGCAGGTCAAGCTCGAGTCGCTGCAGGCCGAGACCAAGTTCACCGAGAATTGCCAGATCGTGCGGCTCTCCGCGTCGCACACGCTGCACGGCGGCGTGCTGCGGATCGCCGACGTGCGCCGCTCCATGATGGTCGCGAGCATCCGCCTCTACGCGCACAACAAGCCCGTCGCCGACGCGGGCGAGCTCAAGGGGCGGTGGGACCTGTGGCGACGCGTCAAGACGCTCCCGGTGGCGGCCGGGCAGGCGGAGGTGCGCTTCGACTTTAGCGTGCCCGTCGTCGCCACCAACCTGCTGATCGAGTATGCAACCTTCCACGAGCCGGCCGTCGGTGCGTCCGAGAAGCTCCAGTGTCCGCGCTGCTCGCGCTCGGTGGCCGATCGGCACGGCATCTGCCGCCACTGCGGCGACAACGCCTACCAGTGCCGCCACTGCCGCAACATCAACTACGAGCACCTCGACGCCTTTCTGTGCAACGAGTGCGGCTTCTGCAAGCACAGCCGCTTCGAGTGGCTGCTGCAGGTCCGCCCCTCTTACGTCGTCGAGCGGATCACGACCGAGGCGGAGAAGAAGCGACTCGTCGGCATGGTTGAGGCGGAGCTCGAGTCGGCGGACAGGCGGCACGGGGCCCTCGCCTCGCACCGCCGCGCCATCGAGGCGCTCCTCTCCGCTCCCGACGAGCCGCTGCTCGCGGCTGCGCCCGTGTCGCCGCTCGGCGCGACCGCCGCCAGCGCCGCCGCTGGGGCCGCCACGGCGACGGCCGCACACCCCGCCGCGAGCGCGATCTCTGCAGACGCGCTCGCGGCGGCGCTGCCCGGCTCGACGGCGGCGCTGCGCCTGCGCGGGCGCATCTGCCTCGCCGCCGCGCTGTACTCGCGGGAGGCGCAGGCGGCCGACGAGGGCCTCTTCAAGTCGGCGCAGACGCTGCACGCGGCGCGCGCCGAGCTGCTCCGCTACATGCGCTCGGGCGGCGGCGACGAGAGCGAGGCGCGGCTCGCCCCCGCCGCCCCCTCCGCCGCGGCCGGCGCCGCCGAGGCCATGGCCGCCGAGGCCATGGACACCGGGGAGGCCTCCCCTCCCACCGCCGCCGCCGCCGCCGCCGCCACGCCACCCTCTTCGGGCTCGCGCACCGGCGTGGCGGGCGAGGCCCCGGCCGCCGCGGCCGCCGCGGCCGCCGCGGCCGCCGCGGCCGCCAGCGCCGGCCCGCCGCGGTACGACTGCGCGGTGGCGTTCGCGGTCGAGTGCCTCTCGCTCTTCTGCCGCCTCGCCGGCGAGGACGCGGCGATGCGCGACGCGCTGCTCGCGCGCGGGCTGCTCGAGGAGGTGTTTGCAAACTGCCTGATCAACGCGCCGCGCCGGTGCGTCGGGCCGGCGACGCGGCTGCTCTGCACGCTCAGCCTCGGCTCGGAGGCTGCGACGACCGCGCTGCAGCGGCGGCTCTCCGCGCGGCTGCAGCTCTGCCTGCTCCACCACTCTGCGCTGCCGCAAGAGGAGCTGCTCGCGCCAGAGGTGACCCTCCTCTGCGACCTCGCGTCGATGCACGACGACCTCTGGCCCCAGCGGCTCGCGATGCTGCTCGGGGCGCTGCGCAGCGGCATCCGGCTCGTCTCGGCGCCGCCGCCGTCCTCCGACGCGGCGCAGCGCCCCTCCACCTCCTTCTTGTGCCGCCGGCTCGTGCTCCCTTGCCTGCGCGTGCTGCTCGCCACCATAGCGCCGCCCGCCCCTGTCGTACCGCCGATGCCGTCCGGGGCAGCCTCGCCCACCCTCACCGAGCTCGCCGGCGCCGGAGGCAGCGGCGTTCGCGCGGCGGCGCTCGACTTTGGAGCCTTCCTGGCGAGCCCCGCGGCAACGTTTGCTGGCTGGCACAGCGGCTCCGGCGCCACGGCCTCCCCCGCAGCGACCGTGCAGTCGCGCGCTCGCGCCGCCGCGCTCCGGTGCGCTCGCCGGTGGCGCGCCGCGGCGGCGGCGTCCGCCGGCCGCCCGCCGCCCGCCGCCGGCGAGTCTGGCGGCAACTGGCTCTGCGAGCTGCTGCTCTGCGAGGCGTCTCCACCCGTGCGCGAGGCTGGCGCGTCGCTCCTGCTCCGCCTCGCCGGCGGCCTCCCGACGGCGGCGGCCGCGGCGTCGCCCATTCCCGCCCTCTCCCCCAGCTGCATGCCCACGCCGGCCACGCCGGCCACGCCGGCCCCGAGCGAGGGCGGGGCGGGCGGCGCCGCCACCGCGAGCGGGCTCGCGCTGGACTTTCTCGAGGCTCTCATCGCGCCGGCCTTCATGCGGCGGGCGGTGGCGGCGGGCGGGCTGGCCTCGGCCGAGTACTTTGAGCTGCTCCGCGGCCTCGCCGCGCCCGCGTCGCGCCGCCTCTTTCTCGTCGCGCGCGGCACTCTCCCCCACCTCGTCGCGCTGGTCGACGAGGAGGCGCGCGCGGTGCGGGCCGTCGAGGAGGCGGACGGCGTGCTCGACCTGCTGCAGGGGCGCACGCTGCGCGCCCTGGTCGAGCTCCTCGCCTCGCTCGTCGAGCCGCCGACAGTCCGCGAGCGGCTGCGGCGCGGCGGGCGCGACGGCGCGCTGGTGCCCGCGCTGCTCCGGGCGCTGCTGTGCGTGCGCGGGCTGGTGCTGCAAAAGACGTGCCACACCGAGGCGTGCGCGGCGCAGCTCACCGCGACGCTGGCCTCGCTCCACAACGAGTCGGACTCGGAGCGCCGCCGCTTCCTCGCCGCCTGCGTCGCCGCCGTGCGGGAGCACGTTGCCGCCGCCGGCCTCGACGGCAAGGGCGCGCCGCAGGGCGGCCGCGCGGACCCGGCGGCGCTCTCCTTCCTCTTCGAGCGGCTGTGCGGCCTCGTCTGCCCAGAGCGGCCCGAGCCGGACTACCCGCTGCAGCTGAGCAAGGCTCCGACGCAGGAGGAGTTCATCCGCGGCGCGATGACCAAGAACCCGTACATGAAGTCCTCGCTCGGCCCGCTGATGCGCGACGTCAAGAACCGGATCTGCCGCGACCTCGACATGGTGGGCCTCATCGAGGACGACAACGGGATGGAGCTGCTCGTGGCGGGCAAGATCGTGAAGCTCGACCTCCCCGTCGCGGCCGTGTACGAGCAGGTGTGGGCGCGCTCGGACAGCGCGCTCGCGCGCGGAGCGGGCGCGCCGGGCGGCGCCGGGCGGGCGGCCGCCGCGGGGCTGGCGTCGGCGGGCGGCGGAGGCGACGACCGCGGGCCGATGGTGGTGGTCTACCGGCTGCAGGGCCTGGACGGCGAGGCGACCGAGGAGATCGTCGAGGCCATCGACGAGGAGGCGGCCGAAGAGACGGACCCGGAGGCGGAGTTTGCCCTCTCGGCGGTGGTTGGCGAGGAGGGCGGCCTCGAGCTGCTGCTGCGGCTGCTCGAGGTTGCGGGCATGCCTCGCGCCGGGCAGCCGGGCGAGTGCATCGTCCTCCTCCTCAAGCTGCTGCACGCCTGCTGCCGCATCCGCGCCAACCGGCGCCGCGTCCTCGCGCTCGGAGGCACCGCGCGGCTGCTTCGCGTCGCGCCGCAGGCGCTGGCCGTCGCGGCGGCGGCGCTGGGCGAGAATGCGGCGCTGGCGGCGCAGCGGCTGCTCGAGACCATCGAGGCGCTGCTGGAGGAGGAGATGGTGGCGCAGGCCGAGGCGGCGGCCGTCGACGGCGAGGGCGAGAGCGCGATGCAGGTCGACGGCGGCGGCGACCAGGACGAGTGGCGCGGCTTTGTGCTCTCGCTCTTGCACGAGCTCGAGGCGCTGCGCCAGCGGAGCGAGGCCGAGCCGGCGGCGCGCGAGCCGGCGGCGGCGCTCTGCCGCGCCGTCACGCGCCTCCTCCCCCTCGTCACTCGCGGGCGGGCGGAGCTCCTCCGGCAGCTGTACGCGCACTTTGAGCTCTACGCCGACTTTGGCGCCTGCGACGCCGCCGGAGACGCGGCAGGTCGCCACGCCTTTTGGCTCGAGTGCCTCGTCGGGCTGCTGACCGAGCCGCAGTCTCGCGTCGCCGCGTCTCGGGCCGCGGCGGCCGCCGCGGCGATGGCGGCCGGCGGCGGCGGCGGCGGCGGCGGCGGCGGCGGCGGCGGCGGCGGCGGCGGCGGAGATGCGCCGAGCGGCCTCGCGTCGGCGGGCGCGCGCCTTATCGAGGTTGCGGCCGAGGCGGGGCTGGCGCGAGCGGGGGCGGCCTACCTGCTGTCGGCCTTCGCCGCCGAGCGGCAGGGCGCGACGGCGGCGCAGTGGGCCGAGGCGCTCAGCCGGCCCGCGCTTCCGTTTGTGCTGCAGCTGCTCGGGTCGCTCGCGCGCACGCACGCCGGCACGCAGCAGCTGCTGCTCGCGCCCGAGGTGATGGGGACGATCCACGCGCTGGAGCAGCACTCCTCCTCCGCCTCGAAGGCGATCGGCACGTGGGCCGAGGCGCTGCTCGAGGCGATGCGCGACGCCGGGCTCGCCGCCACCGTCGACCGGCTGCGCCAGTCGACGCAGGCGTCCAAGCGCAAGGCGGCGCTCGACCAGCGGCAGCGCATTCTGTCCTCGATGGGAATGTCGGCCGCGGCGGGCGACGGCAAGGGCCCCGGCTCGAAGCGCGTGGTCGTCTCGGCGGCGGCGACCGCGGCGCTGATCGGCGACCTGCAGGAGGAGGTTGGCCACGTGTGCGTCGTGTGCGGCGAGGGGGAGGCGTACCGGCCGGGCGAGACGCTCGGCGTGTATGTCTTCACCAAGCGCGTGCCCCTCCCGAGCCTGTGCGAGCCGTGCGGAGGGGCGGCGTCGGCCGCGCACGCCTCGCCGGTGAGCCGGGGCTCCCCCTTCTTACCGTACGGCAGCGCGCTCGGCAGCCTCGGGCTGGGCGGCGCGGTGGCGCCGTCCGAGGCGTGCCACACCACGGTCAGCCACTTCAACACGATCCACGTGCGCTGCCACCGCGAGGCGGCGACGGCGGAGCGCTCGCTCAAGCAGCCGAAGCAGGAGTGGGAGGGCGCCACCCTGCGCAACTCGCGCACCCGCGCCAACGGGCTCCTCCCCTTTTGGGGCGCCACCGTCGGCGAGGAGGCCTATGGCGCGTGCGTCGAGCAGTTTTGGGCGCAGGCGCAGTCGACGGGCCGCGCCGACGCGCCGCGGCCAAAGCTGCTCGCGCACAACCTGCGGCTGCTGCTGCTCCGCTTCGCGTGCGAGGAGCAGTTCTCGCACGACGCGCGCGGCGGCGGCCGCGAGTCCAACATCCGGCTGCTGCCGTACCTCGTGCAGATGGCGTCCTACTTTCTCGACGCCAAGGGCGAGGCGCAGCGCCGCTCGCACCGCCGCTCGCTCGCCGCCTTTGTCGAGGCGGAGGGCGGCGCGGGCGGCGCGGGCGGCGCGGGCGGCGAGGCGGCGACGGCGGCCGGCGGCGGCGCGGCCGAGTCGGTGCTCTTCTTTCTCATCCTGTCGCTGCTGCTGCACTCTCCCGATGAGTGGGCCGCCGCCAAGCCCGCGTTCCTCCGCAGGCTGCTGCGCGACGGCGCCGCCGCCGTGGCGCGGGAGCGCCTCGTCCTCGCCGCGCCGCCGCCACCGCCCTCCTCGCCGGGCAGCGGGCCGAGCCGCGACCCTCGCTCGCCGCTCTCGGCCCCGCTGTCCGGCCCGGAGGCCGGCGCCGGCTCCTCTCGCTCGCCGCACCGCCGCGCGTCGCCGCTCGTCGGCGCGCTGCTGACGGCGGAGCCGCCGGCGCTCGCGCCGCTGCCCGCGTCGGCCGCCGCCTCGAGCAGCGGCGCCGCCTCGAGCAGCGCCGCCGCCGGCGCCGCCGGTGCGGACGACGGCGGCGGGGGGGACGGAGCGCCGGACGCCGGCGACGCCTTCGCGCCGCTCCGGCCGGCGCTAATCTTTTTCGGCCTGGTGGACAAGCTGCAGTCCATCCTGAAGGACCCGCGGCCGTACCAGCCGGCCGAGGCGGGCGCGGCGCCCGGGGCGTGGGTTGCGCGGCTGGCGCAGCGGCTGCGGCAGCACGACCAGGCGGTCCTTTCCGAGCTCGCCTCGCTGCTGGCCGACTACGAGGCGGAGCTGCTCACGATGGCGGACCTGGACGAGGCGTTCGACGTCCTCGGCCTGACCGCGCTGGCGCTGGAGGCGGGCTCCGTGTCCGAGTTTGTGGCGCGGGCGAAAAGCGCCGGGTAGCGCCGGGATGGCGACACGCTCTCTTGATCCATTGTGGGTCACACATCTCAAAAGGGGGGGGGGGGGGGGACACTGATGATCAGATCAGCAGTTTGTGTGAGAGAGCTGAAAAATATTGTAAAAACCAAACCTATCCGAAAATGATTTAGGAAAAATGCCGAACATATATGGAATATATGCCGATTAGGAGAGTTTTTTCCGACGTTTTTGCCATGCAGAGACAAATACCGCGCCAGATAGTGTCGCCGTCGCCGCGGAGCCGCCTGTTGCGATCTGGGTCGCGTAGTTCGAATTCCTCAACTCGGCCTCCACACCCTCTATGTGGGCGAGAGGCGTGAGCCGCGCGCGCCGCGTGTCGGCAGAGTTCGTACACAGTACACAGTGTCGGTGTCAGTCCATACAGATACACTCTCTCACGTCGAGAGCGGCGCGTGTGCAGAGAGAACGGAGACGCGGAGGGAGGGAGGACGAACACACGCGACGCGACCAGACGCAGTGCTCATGGACACAACCGCTCCTTCTTGCCCGCCTTGGCCCCGCTCTTGGGCTTCTTCTTCCCGATCGCGCCCGCCTGTTTCCTCGCCTTGTCCGCGGGCTTCCGCTCGCCGATGGACGGCTGCGCCGGGCCGCCGTAGGTCTGCAGGGGACGCACATCGGATGAGCGCCCGCAGTGCAGGCGCGGAGCTGGGGCAGGCGCGCACACCGAGGCGTGTTTCGCGAGCTTCTTCTGCTTTTCGAAGCCCTGGAAGCCGAAGCGGCCAATCTTGGCCGACTTGCCCCTAGCGGAGCATGGACTACGAGTCAGCTTTGGCCTGCAGTGTGAGCATTTAACACCGCGAGAGAGACGAGGCACATGGGCAGCTGTGCGGGGCTGAAAAGAATTTTACAACATAACACTGGGCACGGGACTGGCTCGCACTCCCATCCCTCCCTTGGGTTGTCTGTTTTCTTTCTTTCTTTTACTGGCTCGCACTGGCACTAACAAAGGTACACGCGGCTGAAAAGAATTTCCGGGTGCCGGACAGCGGCAGGCGGCGGCGGCGTCGCAGGATGAAGCAGAGGAGAGCGACGCGACAGAGGAAGAAGCGACAAGAGAGAGAACGACTCCATCCCTCCCTTGGGGTGGCGTTTTATTTCTTTCTTCGGGCTGGCGCGTACTGGTTAGAAACTTGCGTTTCGAGGATAAGAGCCGTCACACGCGCAGCTCGGCATTGCATGACACTTTCACAGTCGAATGAAGTGCGTACACGTATACTGTAACGAGATCAACATACAACAACCACACTCTCTCTCACCGTACGCTCGTATACAGGATACAGCCGTATCTCGCGTCCACCCGCCGCAGGCCCGCGAGCAGTGTCAGCCGGGACGCGTAGCGAAAGAGAGACCGTATGACTTGGGTAGGCGTGCGACCGCAGCGCGCCCGTCGTAAGGTCGACGGGGCGCGCGTGTCAGCGAGAGAGTTGCGGGCGGAGCCATAGCCGACTTTTTCGAGGACGAGAGATACGCTGCTTCTGCCGATAAGTGAGAAGAAATCGCCCCTCTATCTCCCACTCGAGGCCACTTTAACACCAACACTGTGTGTGGAGAAATTTACCTACCTTCCTACGTGCAAAAAAAGAGGGAAAGGGACGACAAAGCTCAGACGTCAAAGCCTCGAACAAAGGTCAAAGCCGGCGGCCGCGGGGAACCCTACCTGCGGTTCACAGTCGTTGTCTTTCTTTAGCGCACGAGTCGTTTATTTGGGGTCGTTTGAGTCCTTTGGGGGCAGTTAGTCAGGAGCGCCCACTCGGGCTGCTCCACGAGCTTCCGCAGTCACTCCAGAAAGAAGAAACACGGCGTCGCTAGACGTCGAGTGGCCACCAGCCCCGGCCGCTACCCGGGTACAAGCGATGCGGACTCGCGGCTCTGCCCGTCGTGCGACGCTGCTGCTGTCCCAGCCGACGGACCTCCTAGATGCGTGCCTCATGTTTCTCGACCTCGACCAGATGCGCGCGACTAAGCCCACCTGCCGCAAGATCTGCAGAGCTGCACGCCGGTTGCTCAACGACGTGCGGTGGCTGGGCATGCATTTCCGCCTCCCGCACATCTACAACACGCTCCAAGACCTCTTGTCTTACGACGCGATGATCCAAGCCGCTCGCTGCCGCAGCGATCTCACCACCGCTGAGTTCGATGAGCGCTTCCTTCCCCGGGTTCTCCATCGACTTGACCCGCTCATCGAAGAAGAGTTCGGGCGTCTCCTTGAGGACGCTCGACGCGACTTGCTGTCGGGCGCGCGGCCGTGGCTGTCTCGCGCAGCTCTCGCGAGGGTGCGGGCTTGCCCCGCTGAGGCAGCGCAGCGCAGCGAAGCGGAGGCCGACGTCATTGGCCCGACCATGCTTCCGCTGCTACCGCTGCACCTGGCCTTGTTTGTACGGCTCAGCGGCGATTGCGTGGCCGCCCTCGCCGACGCGCACCCTCCGTCGCCAAGCTGGCCGCTCGCCGACCTGCTGCGGGCGCGTCAGTGCGGCGAGGCGGCTGCCCTCCAGGTGCTAGCTGGAGGAGTGGCAGCGGCGGCCAACAGGGGTGCTCTTCCTCTCCAACTTAGCGAGTACGAGCCCACATTCCTGCACGTCGCGTGCACCGGCACGCCCAGTGCGGCGCTGATTCGCGCCCTCCTCGAGCTGAGCCCCGTGGCGGCCGCTCACCCTCTCACTAGGGACGGCTTGTGCGAGCTGCCGCTGCAACGCCTCTGTCGTGGCATGGGGGAAGACGGCTGGCGCACGTCGCCGGATGCGCCGGAGGCCGTCGCGCTGCTCGCACGCGCACACCCCGCGGCGCTGGCGGAACGGGCAGATTACCAGTCGACCGACGGGGCGACACCTCTCTTCTTGGCAGCGCTTCACTGCCCAGAGCAAGTCCCTGCGCTGCTCGGGGTTTATCCGGCCGCCGCCGCGGTCGAGTTTGACGACAGCTGCAGTGACAGCGAGCACGCCGGCATGCTGCCGCTGCACGCCGCGTGCCTCAGCGGCGATGCGACGGCCATCCGCGCCCTTCTCGACGCCCACCCGCAGGCGAGACTTCCGGGACACCGCTCCCCCTCCCCCCTTTTCCCCGCGCTCCTCCCTCACCTCCCACCGCCCCTCTACTGCGCCCCCTCACCTCCCACCGCCTCTCTCGTACTGCGCCCGCTCACCTCCCACCGCCCTGTCGTACTCCGCAGGGCGCAAGCACGGCGAGCGCGGCCGGCCAGCTGCCGCACCACTGCGCAGCGCGGCGCGGCCACCTAGCGGCTCTGCGGCTGCTGGTGGAGGCGCACCCCGACGGCCTTCAGCACGAGGACGTGGACGGCTACCAGCCTGGCGAGTAGAGACCACGCCTCACTTTTTCACACCGGGGGTCCGTCCGGAAATGCTTTTCGCTGCGCATGCTCGAGCCCCCGGCGAGGGCTTGTGCTGTGAATAGCAGGTGTGGTCTCTACTCGCCAGGCTACCAGCCCTAGAAGCGGAATGCGGGCAGTCTTGAATTCGAGCTAGCGCCCGAGAGGGCACGAGAGGGCACGTGTTCGACTGTAGTCCGCCGTATTCGGGCGTAGTCACCGTCTTTCTGTCGCTCGTACTCACGCGGTGCTCTGAAGACTCTGCACGAGACCGCCCTCCCGCCGCCCTGAGGCTGGCGCATCCATGACGTAGGCTACCAGCCGGTCGACGAGGCTCTCTTCCGCTCGGCCGAGGGGGGGGGGGCGCCCCGCTGCTTGCCTATTTGATGGTGCACTCTCGGGGGCCGACGAGGACGTTCGAGGGAAGTGGCTGGCGAGCGCGATTGGCGGCATCTGAGAAGGCGCTTGCACACGTCTTCCTGTGGAGCCAGGAGAATGCTCAACCTTGAACCGTGCCCATGCGCGACTTGCTAGGGGTTGTGCAGCTCTGTGTCTGAGCCCCCCCCTCCCCTCCTGAGGACGCCGGGACCCCCGCCCCGGCCCCAAACACGTGCTCTAACCAGGCTCCGCTAACACGATTCGTCCCTAAAAAACACTAAATTGTGTCCGGGCCGAGCGTTTTTGATCTCTGGGTGAGTGGGCGCCCGCCCGCCGCCTCTGAGGGCAGAGGGGGTCGGGCCCCCTAGACTGAAAACAAAAACAAAGCTCGAAATACGAAAACAGCCAAAATCAGCCTGCGAGAGTCTGCCCGAGAGAGGCGCTGCGCGCCGCTGACCTCATGTGGGGATGTGTGCCGACCGACACCAATACTGATCTAAAACCTGGAAACCCTTGTTCAAAGCCGACCCTAAGCGCCATCCTTCCTGCTCTCACCTGATCGCTGATGCTGCTTCCCCGCGCCGCCTCCTTGGCCCCCTTGGGCGTATTTTCTACTCCCAGTGGGGGGACCGGGCCCCGGGCCTTGTTTTCTGTTTTCTGTTTTTCAAAACGCCCGCCCGCCCGCCACCCCGACGCGGCTCGGCCCCCCACTCACCCAGAGATCAAAAACGCTTGGTACCCGCGTCCCCCTCGGCCGCTGACTGATGTCCGTGATCGGCCATGACACCGCACACCTCCACGGACCGTCCCCTGACAGCTCCGTCGCCCGCGCTGGCCGCTGTGCGGGGATATTTGTGCATTGTGGTCGGCCAGTCCGACTGCGGCAGGGACTGGCCGCGACGCCAGTGTCTTGTGCTATGAGACTCTGGGGGAGCGCGGGGGCCCCCGGAGGCACCGTGCGCCGCGCCGCAGTGCGGTACAGCTGTCTGGACAGGACTGGGGTAACGATCTGTCGGGCTCGGGCCGCACCGCCACCGCCGGTGCACCGGTGTCAGCAGTACCGCAGTCAGACCGCAGCCGTATATACACGTGTACGACCGATCAGGTGTCAGCAGTCAGGTCGGAGTTTTCAGATGGTTGGAGTGTCTATCTGTACTGTATGTACGTCCTCGAGATCTCTCCAAATCTGCCCTCTACTTAGTAAGACGAGCCGTAACCGACTTAATCGGTGCTAGTAGAGACTAGTACGTAGTAGAGCCGGGGCCCCGTTTCCGCACTGACCGTACTCCAAGCGTGCTCCAAGTGCCCTTTGGCCTCACAAATAGCTCGCGCGGCCTTGGGCAGGCGGACGTCCTCGCTCGCGGCTTGCCGAAGCGCCGATGTGAGCTTTCGCGCCCCGCGCCGCGACCAGTAGTGCCTCGGCCTCAGCGCGCCACCGCGTGCGGCAGCACGTGCTCGCGCCACACGTCGGACAACGAGACAGAAGAATGCACCACCCATCTTCGCCATCCCCATCGCCATCCGCCATTCCCATCCACACCTCCCACCAACATCGCCCATCAACATCTCCCATCAACATCGCCAACGCGCCACTCCCATCCACTGACCCGTCGCATTGGGTTTACACATGTTACCGTACGCACGTTACTGGTCGTCGCATTCGCTCCCACCGACTGTCGAGTCTTCTATCACTCGAGCGATTTCGGCCACGACCCATGCCATGGCTGCGCACCGCATCCTCACGGCCACCGACACTCTTGGCCGGACCAGAGAGGCTCGCAGTGCTGCTCTGCGATGGTGAGTGACGGCGGCTAGTCAAAGTCACCCCCATCCGCGGGCGCGCGGCTCCCATTCACTTTCTCTCTCACCCTTACGGCGGCTCCAAGGCCAAAACGTCGTGCACGCTGCACGCAATGCCCGACTCAAAAGCAGCCTCGTCGATGGAGTAGGCCGACTCAAGCTCAAAACTCAGCCTCGCGTGTCGATTGTAGTATGTTGCGGTGTTGTTGAGCGTGAGTGGCAGAACTTGAGGCGTCTCGTTGCTGTATTTGATCCAGAAAGGGACTACAAGAACAAGTGGGATGCTGGGGCACAGCATCGCCGCCAGATGGGAAAAGCCTGACTTCCCCGTCACAAAAATGTCAGAAGAGCAAAACGCGGCACGCACACACACCCACGCGTTGTCGCCGGCTGCACCGCACGGCACCGCCTCTCCGTGCGTGCTGCAGGCGTTTGTTGTGCTTGGGGACCTGCTCGAGCACTGTTTTGCAACATTTGCCGAGATGAATTACAGCGTGCCAGACCCTGGTGGCTTGGCACCTGCTGCACTGGTCGCGTTGCGTGGAGCGGACCCTATGATCACGATTCCAGCCGGCCATTACCTCCGATTGCGCCCGAGCGCACCGTACGTCATTCCTCCGGGTGCACTTGCTGGCAGTGCTCTGCCTTTCTCACACTTGCAGGCGACCCTCGGTGCGCTCGTGCGCACGACGGCAGCCATCGCGGGCCAGCCTGTTTTGCTTCATGATGCAGCCTATGCTCCTGCAATGGCTGACTTGGTGTGAGCGCGCAAAGATGGTGCGCACGCAGTTGGAGGTCAATGCCGCTGCGGGGATGGGCGACCAGGGCTATGCGAGCATCAAGGGCATGCTCGTCCAGGTCATCCGTCAGCACGCGCTCGAGGAGGGCGCGGGAGAGGTACCACCGAGCAGCGGAGCAGACGAAAGCACTAGCCTGGGTCTCTCTTCGCTGCAAAATGGCGCACTCCACGAAGCTCGTGCCGCCGCCGCTGCGCAGGTTGCGGCTTCGAGGCCGACTCCGCAGCTGCAGAGCAGGTGCCCGCAGCCCGCCCAGCACTCGCGTCGCGCTGACCGCCGGTGTGAGCCTGCGCGGCGAGCCCGTGCCATCGCCGCCAGAGCCAGCGGCGGAGCCCGCCGCCGCCTCCATGGAGTCGCTGGTGAGTCCGTGCCGTGGGTCCCAGCCGACATGTTGCAGCATGGCATGCATGGCGTCCAAGCTGATGAGATCTCACCCATGGCGAGGGACATCATCGACCATGAGTCTCCATGAGTCTCCTGCTGTGCCCGGGCATCTCGCGCGCAAAGTGCACGCCCCACGCCCGCCGCAACGTCGTAGCGAAGTAGGACCGCGCCTCCTTCGCGCTACGCGCGCCGATCCGCCTCCAGTGCTGCTTGGATGCCGAATCCACCACACAGTCGAACAGCTGGTGCAGGTCGTCCGACGCCTCCGCGTAGGCCCCGACAACGAGGCTGCGCACGGTGCCAAACGAGCGCAGCACGGAGGAAACGGCGTCCCTCGAGCCGTTGTTCCATGTCTGCACGTGCGGCTTGGCATCGAGCGCCGCCGCCCGCGCCTCGTAGTCGCGCTGGACAAGGTTCGCCCTGTCGGCGACAGCGCCGCCCTGGCCATCGTCGCGCGCCCGAGCGCTCATGTAGTGAGGCCCGCCGCGGTGGATGGTCTTGCCCTCGAGAAGGTGCTCCGCCGGCGGCTGCTCGGGCCCGCGCTGCACTGTCGTGCCGCGCCACCGGACAGACGGATGCGCCTGGCCTCGTGTGCCCGTGCAGCGCGCCGTGCGGGACTCGCGCAGCTTGCAGTGCAGGCGCCCATCCGGCACGATGCCGTTCTTGCCGCGCGTGCCAGCTGTGCCGTTGAGCGTGACCGGCGGGATGACGGCGCTGAAGATCTCGCGCGGCTCCTCCTTGCCGCGCAGCCCCGCGTGCAGCGCATCACCGATCACGCGTGTGTGAGAAGATGTCGTCGTGGCAGTTGCCGTGGGCGCGGTCGTTGAGCGTCGCCAAGCCCAGCTGGACGAGCTCACCCACGCGGACGAGAACGAGTCGACGGCCAGCCACGCCTCCCGCCGCGTGTCGCCGTGCGGCAGCCCGAGGATGCTGCGGCTGAGCTGGTTGCGCTTGACCTGCTCCCGCTGCTGCGTCAGCTGCCGCTGTAGCCCAGCGCTGCCGGCCCGCCCGTTGCCAGCCTCGGGAGCCCGGAGATCAAGAGGCCCCGCCACGCCCTCGCCGCGGACCTCTCGTTGCATGCCCTCCCACGCCCTCTTGAAGGACTCGCCCGTCAGCGTCAGCTGCCCCAGCTGCGCGCCGAGCGGGTTGACGTTGGTGGTGCAGCCCGAGAGGAAGCGCGAGAGGCGAGGGCTGTTCGGGTACGGCAACTCGAAGGCGCCGTGGCCGAAGAGCGGAGCGAGCATCTGGAAGAAGCCACGCTCGCTGCCGCCGCCGGGCGTCGACCTGTCGAGGAACCTCTCGGCCGCCTCGACAAAGCAGGCGCAGAACGCAGCCGGCGCCACCTCCTCGAGCGAGCGCAGGCCGAGGCCGCGCATCCGCGCAGGCAGGCGAGCCCGCCGCGCGGTGATGGCGTCGCCGAGCACGCCCTCGTAGCCGCACGCCTCAGCCGCACGCCTCAGCAGCGTCGAGGACGCGAGCGTGGGACACCGTCTGGTCGGGAGGGAGGTGCCGGAGGATGAAGTCGAACTTGGCAGAGCAGGAATAGTAGATGGCGGCCCACAGCGCGTGGGGGCTCGCAGCACGTAGCGAAAGAACCGTCTTCTCGATGTAGCTCTCGATACTGCTCACCTGGGCGCGTAACCACGCATCCACAAACCCTGCCTCCCCCATTGGGCAGCCCGCGACCATCACGCCTCGGTACGCGCGCGACCCGCCATCCTCCTCCGGCACCAGCACCATGCCGACTGGCGCGCCCAACCCGATGCTTCACTCATGCTTCGGTGTGAATCACGCCCGCTGTGAAAACAGTTGGCGGGGAATTTTTGCGCCAGTCAATAGAGCATGAAAATACCTTTCAGACGGTACCTTTATGACCTCCAGAGTCGAAGAACTCGACCGGTGGCTGGCCGCCAAAGTGGCTGGACGGCGCCGCGGCGCACACTGGTGAGCCGCGGAGCACACTGCGGCAGCTGTCCTCGGCGCAGCCGATCGGCTCCCGCGGCCTGGAAGCTGGATGGTGGCAGTGGCACTCTCTGAGGCTCCCTGATTTTTTCTGGTATTTTTTTAGCACTCTCTGGTCACCTTCGCCGGGCGAGCCTGGCTCTCGCTGCACAGCGGGCTCGTTTTGCGAGTATATGGGACACGATGTCTCAAATATGAGGGGTTTTGACTCCTACCGGCTCCTGACGCTATTCCTGGCAGCTCTTATGACCAGGATCAGTAGTGCTATGATACAGGGTGCCCATGCTAGCGCAGGAGCTGCCACACTCGCCCGGACCGTCCCCTTCTGGGGCCGGTTCCGCAGCCCGCGAGAGCCGACAGCGGGGCCGTGCCGCGGGTGCCTACTGCCGAGTGCCACAAACACTGCGCCGTCCCGCCATCACCTACAGGCTGTCTTGTGTGATGGTTGGGATGTCCAAACGCCACCATCTTGGCTCTTGCGACCTCAAACCCTCGAGCTGTATGGGTGGTCCTGACGTCGACAGACGCCCAATGACCACGGTGAAGCTGAGCCGGAACGCGTCGACAAGTCTCGCCTGAGCCCGTGGCGGTCGCCGGCTGGGTCGCTGTGCACGGGCCGGTACCTCAGGCGTCACCTCCGCAGCCTCAGGTCTCACACTCCATCACCTCCGCCAGGACGCTGTCGGTGGCACGCTCGGCGGCGAGTTTGTGGCAGCCCCACAGCGAGCGCGGCGTCGAGCCTAATCGGTCTGGTCGGTCGGCCGCACTCACCGGGTGCCAGGGAGTGCGGCCGACACGCGAGCGGTGCTTCCTGGCAGCGCGCGCCGGCTGTGGGGCTGCCACAAACTCGAGACACGCTTTTTTGGGACATTTTCGACGCTTTTGTCCCATATACTCGCAAAACATGCCAGCGGCGCGACCCGCGGTGAGGCTACCGATCGTCGAGAACTGGGCTTAGCGCTCTTGACTGAGCACCACCGATGAATCGGCACGAGCAGGGAGACAGGAAGGCTCGCTGTGTGAGCCGGCCACGCAGAGGGTCGGAACACCTGGGTCGGAAGAGGGTTCAGGGTACCTCGGCCCACTTTGCTTTTGGCAGGTACTTCCAATACACGCTTGTTCCACCTCATGAGCGGTACACGTGGCAAGCCTCGACGTCGTCGGACACAAGTGGGATGGGAGCTTGGGGTCGCGTCGTGGGGGGGCCAGCACACCTAGTCGCCTAAACGTGCCCCCTCGACCGCAACCTCATCACAGGATCGCTATGCCGTCTCTCACCAAACGCCTAGCCCAGCACGGAGCAATGCCAGCACATGTGCATGTCTCGAGAGCCAGAGTTCCCGCAACCCAGTAAGTATCGGTAAGTGCACCGTCCACGGCCGCACAAGGCGGCCACCGCGAGAGAGTTCCTCGGCGCACACGCGCCGCCACAGGGGTCGGTCCCAGGTGCCTGTCGGAGCGGCGACACGATTTCAGTGACTGCGCGGGGGCGGCGCGGCCGCGCGAACGAGTGGCGGTCCGCGGCACCTCACGTGTCGAGGCTGGGTGTCGCACCGCGCTCGGAGCTCGCGGGCTCCTCGGACCAAAACGAGTCGAGCACTTCCAGCACATCGTTCACTTCGATCAGGTAGTTGTCGTTTGTCAGCGACTGCACCGAGCTCGAGCGAGGCATCGATGCGGCGCCCTCGCGCCGCTGCGGGGCGGCCGAGGCGGCCGAGGGGGAGCTTGGCCGCGGCGGCGCGCGCCGCGCCTCCCCGCCTCGCTGCTGCCCCTCCTCGTCCTCTTGGTTTTGGTACTGCCTCGCCTCAGACATGGGCACGTCGCAGCCGCGCTTGCGCGACGACTCTTGGCCCTTCGAGCTGAGGCCCGGCGCGGAGCCGTCCCCCGCCCCGGACGCCGCGCCCGACTGCGAGTAGGAGCCGGGGTTGGTGCAGGAGGGGCAGCCGCCCGCCAACGGCGCGAGCCCGTCGGGCGGCACGCCGCCACGCAGCGTCGGAGAGAGCGGGCCCTGCGCGATGGAAGGGCCTGCGCTGGCGCACTGCGCGCTGGTTCGAGTGCACTGGACGTGGGACTGCTCCGTCGCATCCGGGAACGGCCTCCGCGTCACGACGCCCTGCGCCACGACCGCCGCGAGAAAGTCGTCGTTCGACGTGCGGCCGCCGCCGCCGCCGCCGCCGCTGCCGCACCACCCGAGGCCACCGCTCTGCGAAGCCGCGCCTGCCGACATCCCGCCCCGGGGGCTGACCACCGAGCTGCCGCCGCCGCAGCTGCCACCAACGCCGGCAACACCCACGCCGGCGGCGGCGTCGTGCTCGCCCACTCCCCGCAGCCGCTCAGCGCCGCCCGCGTTGCCGCCGAGCTGGAGGGGGGAGGAGAGGGGGGGGGGGGGT